TTGGGTTGGGCTTAGATTTCCTCCCCGCAGTACTATTGGATGGGCACATGACCAGATAGTCTTTCTGACCCATAAGATAATTTATGCTTCTGATGAATGGCATAACTTTACTTGTATATTTTGGTAGCATTTGGTTATGTTTACGTTTTTAGTTTATATTTATGAAAATTTTATAAACTAGTTTTTGTTTATTTTTAGAAAAATATAAACTACAAACGCGTTTGGTTTGAATAAAATATTTGAAAAATTTTTAAAATATAAATTAAAACTATGCTTGTTCATGCCTAAAATATTTATATTTATTTTTTATTATTTATGACAATGGGGTCATACACATTATAATTGAAAAAAAAATTTAATTAAAAAAATAATTGAAAAAAAATTCATTGGAAAGAAATTAATTAAAAAATAAATGAAAAAAAATATTTGAAAAAAAAAATTAATTGAAAAAAATTAATTTGAAAAAAGAGGGTAAATTACAAATACACCCTTTGAGGTTTGCTTAAAATACGAATTGCCCCCTGTAGTTTAGAAAATTACAAATATCTCCTTGTCAAAAGATTATATTTAACAGAATTAATTAAAAAAGTGAAATTTCTAACTGTTACCTATACAATAATAAAATCATTGAATTATTAATTAAAATAAAATTTTAACATTATTAAAAACTGTTAATTAACTTGATGATTTATTAATAAAATGGCCTATTTGTTATGAAATCATAAACCTTAGGGGGCATAATGTAATTTTTAAAATCATAGGGATAATTTGTAATTTAAGTAAACCTCAGGGAGTGTGTTTGTAATTTATCGAAAAAAATTAATTAAAAAAAAATTGTTAGTCAAATTTTTAAATTTCTGTTTAAAAATCAACGTAAACTCATTTTTTGAGTTTATGTTTTTTTCTCAAATTTACAAACTGAGACAACTATTTATAAACAAAAAAAAATTATCAAACAAGTTTTTATGACAATTTTTAAAATTTGTGTAAATATAAACTGAAAACGAAATGATTACTAAATAGAACTTTATAATTTGTTACAATTAAAAGTAAATGAGTCAAAATGACACAAAATAAAATAGAGGAATCATGGATAAAATTTATCTGTTATTAAAAAGTTTGTATACCATTACAACCTTAATCAAAATAAGAAATTAAATAGATAATTTAAATATTTCATAGCATAAAATTCTTTAGGAAAATTTAAATGCTATTAGGGGGAATATTCATCTATTTAGTCTTAAGAGTTTTCTTAAGAACTAACTAATCTTTTTTATTTTGAAAACTTATATTTATTTGATTTGGTGTAATTTGAGTTTACGTAAATGCCCATTTGTAATTTATTTTTTCATTTTTCTTATTCGCTTTTGGGATGAGAATGGAAATGTGAGGTGTGGAAGATTCTTTTTAGGAGATTTGGTAGCTGAAGTGTTTGTTATCGAACGTGAAAATCGGCATTTCTGTTGGTGTGGCTTTATGGTGTTACATTAGCGTATTATATTAGAGTAGTTGCTACGTTTGGAAAAAATACACTAAGAAATTTTTATATATTACATTGATTGGAGTGTTAAGTTTGAGAAAAGTACACTAAGAAATTTTTTCAGAAATGTTACATTGTTGTGTTTGAGAAAAGTATACGAATGAGTTTTTTAGTATGTTACGTTGGAGTGTTACATTTTTGGAGTGTTACGTTTAGAAAAAAATTCACTAAGGAGTTTTTGTGTGTTACATTGATTAGAGCATTACATTTAGAAAAAGTACAACTAAATAATTTTTTTTTGAAATGTTACGTTGTTACGTTTGAGAAAAGTACTTTAACTTTTTTTTAATGTATTACATTGGAGTGCTATATTGAACGGTTGCATTTGGAAAAAATATACGAAGAAATTTTTTTTGGAGTGTTACGTTTAGTAATTTCAACATTATAAAAAAACTCATATTTATCTCTCAATACATAACATGTGTTTATGCATGTCTCTTTATATAATTCACATTATAATGGGACCTTTGAGACTATTTAAATTTTTTTTTATATATAAAATTACTATTTGAGAATTATTGGTGGTTCATCCAATTCTTTAAACATCAAATAATTTTAAAATAGATTAAATAATATAAAAATCCAAAAAAATTATTAAACTTGGTTTATTCTCCAACACAAAAATGATCGAATTATGAATCCATTTTTGGTTTCATGACCTTACTACATTGTTATCCATTTTTGGTTTCTTGACCCTACTACATTATTATAAGATTGTAGCTCTTCAAACTTTTTAGTCCCAATCAAAATTTTAAAAAATGGTTGCAACCGTTATGTAATTAAGATTTTAAAAAGCAATTGCAACATTTATGTAATGTTGTTACGTAAAGGTTGTGGTAGTTATCACCATCCGTTAAGGGCGCTATAGCAGTGTGATAGAAATTCACATATGGAATGGCCGTTTCGGTGTTATGTAACGGCCGTAGCGGTACTGTAACGGCCATAACGGTCCGTTACATACCGTTAATTACATCATTTTATAATATTCTGAGTAGCTTCTTTTCTAAAAAAAAAAAAAAACCAAAAAAAAAAAAGTTTAAAAAAAAAAAAAAAAACAAATACTGAAGTGATCTAAGCCCAAAGAAAAAATCTTATGTGAATTTATTTTCTTTATAATGTTTTTAAAATTTTTATTTTAAGAAAAAATCTTATATGAAATTATTTTCTTTATAATGCTTTTAAAATTTTTATTTCATTAAATTAGCATGTAAAATAAAAAATATATAAACATTGATTATATTTATTTTTATAAGCATTTATTTAATATTTAATTATAAATATTTTCCATTTTGTTACTATAATGTGTTGTCTAAAGGATGTTTTTAAAAAACTCAAAAATAATTTTTGTTTATGGAACAATTTTTACTTTTTATAATCATTTCATTTAATACTTAATTGTAAATAATTTTATTTAGTTAGCTGTAAAATGTTGTCTAAAAAAATGCCTCAAAATAAATTTTTTTTATAGCACAATTTTTATTTTTATAATCATTTCATTTAATAATTATGAATATCTTTTTATTTAGTTAGTTCATGTATTGGTCAAAAATAATTTGTAGACATTTAAAATCAATAATTTTTAAAGTTATTAACTAATGAAATAAAATGTAAAAAACTCATTTTTTAGTGATTTGAAAATATGAAATATATTGAATCATATTTGAAAATTAACAAAAATTAACCCAAATATATTTTAAATCCTAATAAATGTAATTTCGGAAAAAAAAAATGTGGATTGGTAAGTTTTCTTCAAATTGTGTGAAAAATAAAAAAATTACGATTATGATTATCACAACTATTACACTATGACTTTATATGCCGCAACTGTAATTGCGCTACCACAATTATCACTGCTGGAAATTAGAGTTTTAGAGGCGTTTAAAAAACGCCACTATAGATCTTAAAAACGCCGTTAAATCCTTGTGCGGCGTTTATCACCAAACGTCGAAGATGCGGCCGTCGCTATAACTCTATGGCGCTTTAGAAACGTCGCTATATTGATATAGGCGGCGTTTTTCTAAAACGCCGCTAAAAGTTCTTCTAACGGTTACATGACGTCACCATTCTATTTAGCGACGTTTTTAAAAACGCCGCCGTATCTGTCTTTCAAAACTCTAACTGTTGGTATGCTATTTAGCGACGTTTTGAGAAACGCCGTGATAGCCCCTTTTTTTTTTTTTAAATTGTGCTAATTTTACGTTATTGAACTAAAAAAATACCTATAAAAAAACTAAAAAATAGCGATAAATTTTTCGTAGTCAGCCATATTCAATATGAGCACAAGCCCATAAGAACCAAATTGTAGATGGAAACAACCAAAGTGTCCATTTGCCACTGGCTGACAATACCAAACCAGTGGCTCAAAACCCATCTTTAAGCAAGCATTAGTGTCTACAGGTCTATCTATGGTTCTATCCACAGGTCTATCTATGGTTCTATCCACTTCCACTACAAAAACATTAGAGACTGTATGCTCTTCTTGAACTCATAAAGAGTTGTAGTTCACAACTGAGACGAGTCAACTGCTCAGGATACATACTATTCCTGCAAAAACAGATCAAACCAATTTCAATTATAGAGATCATATGTAACATATCTAAAGCTGTTATAGAAAATAGATTTAACAAAAGTCAACCCTTCTTGATTCAACACAGTTCTTCATCCAACAAATCAAATTTAGTTGGTGAATGAAGCAACTTGTGATTCTACTATATTTTAGGTAAGCATCAAGATTTTTCTTTTAATATTTCTCGTAAAAAAAAATCCATTAATATACAGCAGCCTCTGGGCCTTGAGTTGAGGACAAATCAATGGTGACCACAGTTCAATTTTCATGTGGGATGATTGAAATCCTGTATTGTGGTTTGGGTTCTTGACCAAACCCCATCTGAACAATGCTTTGCAGATCATCTTCACACAATGTTGGAAACTGAGGATTTCAAGTTGAGAAAAGCAGAATTAGATGATGAAAAACTTAAAAGGGCTGTGTAGTTGTATTTTAATTTCTATTTCAATGCTAAAAAACACAGAATTGTTTCAGAAAACTCTTTTCAGATTTTTATTTTATTTTGGGTATTTCCAACTTTTCTTTGTTTTCCTTACTGAAACACAAAAAATGAAAATGGAGAAAACAAAGACAACACCAAATTCTTCAGGAATGGGCCAGCATTTGAATACCTATGGAATACCTTGGCCGAATTCATCGACCGGAGGTAATTGCATGCCGTTGTTTTGGCATAATGTGGTGCTTGTATGGTCCCCATTGGAAAGATTAGTATGTACTGGTGGAAATTCCTGGGTCTGTTGTCCAAAGAAAGTAGAAGCAGAGGAATCTAATGGGTATGTTTGATGAGGGAAAAGCCATTAGGCTGAAATACCTGGAATTTTCAACCAATTTTAGAAAAAAAACGTCACAATAGATAAAAGAAATTGATTTTACAACAAGTTTCTATACTGACACCTTTTGACAAGAGACCATCCATGTTAAATTCCAACCTTGGATTCACAGAAGCTAACTTCATTGACAGAAACTACAAAACACAAAATGAATACACAATACCCATTAAGTCATAGAACTCAATTATGCAATCAAAATGAAACCCCATGGTACAGAACAAGTCCTAATTTACCTCGACTTGTCGTTGCAGTGACTGCACATAGTTTATAATTTCATTAAGCATAAGTGCTTTTCCATTCACCTACAAGTACAATGGAAAGAAAATTTCCAAGGCCAATTTAGTCATTGCCCAACAATGAATTCAAGCTCTACTATGGCTTAAATTTGTTGCAAAGCATTTTGTTACACACATCTTATTGCAACCTGGCACGAGGTCTTGGAGAAGCTTCATTCTTTCACTGATCTTCTCCTTTTGAACCTGCCCAAATACCCGAAAATCGCAACGTTAATGCTAAGCTTGCCGTGGAAGAATTGGAGCGAATGATGAGAGAATTGGGCTGTGATTCTTACTCTTTCAGCAAGGCTATGGCTATCAGTAGCTTGACCTCTTCTTGCTCTTACATGAATGTAGTCCTTTGGGGGCTCGGGAGGCTTCTGGTTAGACTTTGTTTGTTTCTCATCCTCATCCCCTATTTTAACACTATCATTTTCGCTCCCACTGCCTTCATTGGGTTTGAATCGCTTGGTGTTCGGGTCATCCTTTGCCTCTGCTGCCTGGAAGAACAGAATTGTTAGAATTCTCGACTGAATCAAAGAAAAAAGAAGTTAAAAGAGTGTGTTTTTAATTTTTCTTGGTAATTCATATACCATTGTGGCATTGACAGAATTGGATTTTCCCCTCAAACCTTCTTTTCTTTTCCCGGAATTAGAAGAAATTGGATTTTTCAACACCGCTTCGCCATTTGGGATTTTCTCAGAAACAAAGGAACCCTCATTAGTACTTGCAAATTCAGTTCGATCTGAGGTAGCAGACTCCAGAACTTTCCTGAATTTTGTGTCTGAGCCAATTGACGACCTCATTTCCATTTGGGTTTGTGTTGAATTCTTGTTTTCTTGAGCACCCACGGAAGATACAGCTGCCTTGATAGAAGGACTTCTCGAAACTCTCGGCAACTTCACACTTGCCATCAATGGACTCAATCTGTAGGGCAATTCACCATTGTTCAAACCCAATTGGCTCGTTCTTCCATTGAAACTCCGACTTCAATATTTTCTTAAAAGAGGTAACCGGTGAACAAAATTGTAACCGGTTGAGAGGGTATTCAATATTTTCAATCAAATTATTTGATGGTTGAGATTAATTTATAAATATCTAATGGTTTAAAATAAATGTGTATATGATGTGCACTATTTTATAAGGTGCACATCTTAACAGCTCCCTAAATTAAATATGAAAATACTTTGGTGGTTTTTGGTTAAGAAATAAAACGAGCATGACTATGGTACACTTAAAAATGCATCACGTATGCCTTTCCAAAACTACATTGTGCCATTTTGGGAAGCAATCAAAAACGTCACGTTTTTTTATCCATGTTCCAAAAAAGCTCCCGGCCCAAAACGTCACTTTATTCATTTGGCAACTTTTCAAAACGCAACACTGAAATTACAGTTTGGGCCTATGAGACAAAATTGAAAAAGTAAAAAATAAATGTTAAGGA